TTATGGAGCTCGCTTCCAGCTCTGACCATAAACTTGAAAAAATAACCACCAGCATTCCACAATACAGACCGAACAAGCTAGTTCAATAAAGTATTTATCATACCGGCTCTTTTAAAATTATCCTCCTGAACCAAGGCATCTCGGTTAGCGCGCGCTCTGAAGTTGAGCATATATTTGCATTTTTAAGGCCACTTTCTTGAAATTTGAACTAAATTAGCCCTCAGACATAAAGGGAAATAAATCTCTTTATATATGCAGTGTTTTGGAAGAGCAGCTTTTGGAAACTACTGCTGAGCGGGTACAACGAAGCGGTCCGTATTACAAAATTCAGACCCCTCAGCGAGCCAATCAGAGTCCTCCTTTACCTTGTAGACCAATTTGCCATAACTGAGCCCTATTGTCAGATATAATTAAATACCCCAGTCTATTTACCTTTGATGCGATAAACATAATTTGTGTATGCCTTTCCCACGCCATTGATGCAATTCCTCGACTTGCCGTGATTGTTATAATGTTTCTCAGGATCTTTCCCAGACCAACACTCTCCGTAATATTGCATTCCAAACATGGTGTAGCCCTGCCGGAAGGCCTCCTCAGCGCAGAGTTGAATGATGTAGCTCATATTATACTTCCAATAAACCCAAATGTTTTTGCCCCCCAAGTTCTGTTTTTTTCTGAAGTTTTTTACGAGCTTGTCTAATGATCTGTTCGTCTTCTTGTCTTCAAAACAACCGACGGGCTCATAGTCAATTTCAACTGAAAGATGAAGAAGAAAAAACAATAATTGAAAATTATTTTCCACAGGCGCCACAAGTCCTCTGATGATGGGTCAGTCATTTAAAAATCTTTTCAGAATCATCCTCAAATTTTGCAGCTCTCCCTCGAAGGTTTTTAGCCAGAATGTTGATCTGTGCTGTTTTGTTTGTTTGTTTTTTTTCCTTATGGGCAAATTGCAACCACGTTGTGAATTTATCGCAACAGCTTAGCAGCTTTAGTTTATTTATATGTTTGATTCAGTTTCACTCATTCCAAACAACATCTGCAGGTTTCTCTGAGGTTATTAAAATGACACCATTCACTCCTCACTCATATCCCAAAAAGTGCAAAACTTACAACCAGATTTAACTAGTAGTGCGAGAGTTGCAAGTGCGTAATTAGGAGCCTTTCTGACAAAACATCGAAGAGAGTAACTTTTTTAGAGAAGTGGTGTCGCCCCATGTGGCCCCGACTCAGGGCATCTTAGCCGGGTTTAATTTAGAAACGTAACATCGCCCCTCAGGAAGTAGCCTCAGCTCTAACGATTTTTATTATCAGACGACCTAACGTTCAATAACTTGCACGATATTATATGAACGACCTGTCAGCATTATTATTATTGCGTTGTTCAATGTTCCCAGGAGAGAAACGGGAACCAAAAAACGAAATTGCCAGTCCAAGAGATCGAATTGCACCGCTGGCCGGCACCGTTTGAGTTTCCATGACTCGCGTGTGAATCACGGAAATTATTGAAATCCTTCTCGATGGTCGCTCTAATATAATATTAAGATCATTCTCATCTAGGTGCAATTAACTAGTTAAAGTATTCTCAACAAACTCCCATGCGTAGCTTTTCTTACCCGGAAGGTCTCGGACGCTTAAAACCTTCTCTTCTTCAGCCTCCTGAAAAATACAAATGAAGCAAATTTTGAATCTGAATTCACTAATCCACTTCATGCATTATTACATCTACTTAAAGCGTTGGATTAGAACGCTCGCACCACTTTGTCATCCAATCAGAAGTCAATCAGAAGTCAACCAGAACCAATCGTCCCGGTCTCGCAATCCCGCGCTTTTGCCGGTTAGGCGTGTGTGTTTCGAGAGTCTTGATTGGTTAACTGGATTGTCTGTGCTCTTTTTGATTGGCCAGAGTGATCACTTTGGCTATGGTTTTACATTACTCGAACGAAAACCGCTCTAATAATCTCTAATAATATTAAAGGTAAGGAAATCAACTCCAGAGCCTAGCTAGCTCAAACCATTGGAGCTTATTCCCAGTTTCCATAGCAGTGCTTAAGCGTACGAGTAGCTATTAGCTATGGTAGAAAGGCTAGTCCATTGTCGCATTCCTTGACCAAATCCAACACTGTTTGTTTGTTTGTGTTTTTTTGGTTTTTTTTTTTGGCTGAACTTTCCCTCAACTGTTCTCCAGTGTACAATCCATTTTGTTCCTCGCGGTTAAAAGAGCCACTGTGAGGGTTAACTGTCTCACTCAAGAGCACAACAAAATGAAGGTAAACGGTAGGGTTAAAAGTAAATAAATGTAAATGAGGTTTCTTCTTATCAACATGATGTTGAGTAATACTTTCGTAGCTTCGGGAAACAGATTTTCACAATAATGATTCTTGCCTAGGCTTTCAAGTTAAGCACATTCAAACCCATCAGCCATAAGGAAACCGCGCTTTCACGACACGGATATCACACCGCTCAAATTGATCATAAATGTCACTTACCACTGTGTCGTGCTTTTCTCCCTCAGCTGCTAAAACCACTAAGCAAATCACCAAGAAGGCCTGAAGAAATGCCCTGGATTCCATACCTTTAGAAAACCACATGGCATTTCAGCAATATTAACCAGAACGTATATCTAACTTTTAAATAACTGGCATGTTGGCTGCCAGCCTTTGTTTAATTTTGGAACGGCACCGACTCGGAAAATGGTGTCGATTAGATCAGACCATTGGCCGTACAGCAGCTGTGTTTTGTTAGGGTCAAGTTAATAACCCCAAGCAGTGTGTGGGGTTGGGGTGTGGTGGTTATGGTGCGATATAACCTATAAGAAGAACAGTTCTTCTCGTGCTAAGTATCTACGAGATTCGTCTTCAAATTTATTTTCTTGCAAATGTAGCTGGTATAATTGTCATGTGAAAAAAACCATGGCTTCTCAGGTGTTTCATGGAAGTACGAGTGTGTGGCAATCGCTGGCGAGGATCTCTGGCGCCTGAAAATTGAAGTTAATGGCATCACAGTTCACGCGTGCACATCGAATTCACACCGGTTAACGACTTGTAACCCACCCATCTTTTTCTCCTTATACCCGCCCCACTATTTCAAGGAATAGCATTTAGCTGCACAACTGCACGAGGTTCATTTTCAATAAACCCAACCCGAGAACGAATCTGTTATATATAGGAACTTAACCGTCTTTGTTTCCTTACCCCACAACACTGGCTGGAGGAATTTCGTCAGATGGTCTCCCTGGTCTTTCTCGTTTACGGCATAGTTGTACTATTATGGGACTTACATCAGAATTGAGATTTTGCCTGATCACTGCCACTGAATATTAACTATTCAGTAAAAGTGTGTGTTGCGGCGGTCTAAACAAAACATCTTTTGACAAATTATCCCAAATACCCAACAATAGTACTTAAAATCCTAAACTTCGATACATTAAATACACATACCTCAATGCCTCCCAGAATATCATAAGCATCAATAAATTAAACCTGACCCCTTTCGAAGATGGTGATCTATACAATGATCAAAACGTTTTACCAGTAAAATAACTGCTTTATGCGCAGCTGGTTAATTTTTTCTTTTGCCAACCTTTTTTCTGTCAATTTTCGATGAAGCTGTTGTGCAGAAAGGAAAAGAAACGCTCTTAGAAACAGATATTTCGAAAGAAACTGCCTTCGATCTTTAATAAACTGTGTTATTTTAAAAAAAATAATAATCACGCCAAAGGAAAAGGATAAGAAGTACCTGATAAAATCACAAATACACTGGTGACTTATTAGTTTTCTGGCTTAGCCATAAAAAGTGAACCGTTCTACTTTGGTAAATCAACTTGTAATTTTCGCAATTGGTTTTCTTAGCGCGAACATTTTAATAAACACCACCATGATAATTGTGACATTTTCTGATATTACATGCTTTTGTAAGCAGCATTGCTTGAAGAAGCAAAAGGGAGACAGAGTCCGATGAATAATAAGAAAAGCAAGTGAGCAAATAAGATTTTATCGCAAAGGATCAATGAAAAAAGTTCCGTCCGAACGCCTAATAGTGTTAAAAGTTACAGTTTTTCGTAATAATTATTAAGATTTGCTGCATGAATATGTGATGAGGAGCAAACTCATTTTCTACGGGGTGAAATATTTTATCTCACTTACCGATTTTCAAGGTTCTGTCGGCAGCGGAGTGTTGAGGTTTTCGTGAAGTTCGCGAAAAGGTGAACGCCTCAGGAGAAGAAAATCAAGTGTGACGGATCACGCCTGAGGGAGCCAGCCTTTGGTAAAGAGATTAGTGCACTTTAAATTGTATGACAAGCACGTTCAAAACTCGAAGTCGCAGGAAATTTGAATTTTAAGACAAAATCATTTTTCTGTCACACCAAACAAGCACCATCCTCTCGAAGGCAAATATTAAAACACTTGTTTTTTAAAACAAATATCATATCATAACATGTTAAATTTACCAGAGCTAACGGAAAATTGGATGCTTAAAAAATCGCATTAAGATTGTAAAGGAAGGTTCAGCAATTTATTTAGCTTTAATGCAGCGATGTTTTTTAACAGAAATGTAAAAGGTTTAAATTTTGGTTTAATGTGTTACTTGGAAAACAATGATGAATTTGAAGAGTACTTTGAGTGGGCACTAATTATTTATCTAAGGAGAGTAAAGAAGGAAAACAAATTAAACGAATTCCGGCTAGATTCAATTAGAGGAAAAATTATTCAACTAACAACTTTGGACTTCGCCGCTCGATTCGAAATTATTGTTAACCTTAATCTAACTCTATGTTTGCGGCTAAGTTAGTTTTGATCTTCAATTTTTTGGGAGGATTA